GACTCGGGATTCATACTCCTGAGCTACATCCCCAGCCCAGTGAGACATTTCATATATTGAGACTTGAAGTATGAATTAACGCAAAGATGTAGTTCAATGAGTCCCAAAAGACAGATTTCTATGACAAACCTCATCCATGTGAAACTAAAGTGAGCAGATTAATTACACAGCAGAACAGAGAAACTATTCTTCAGGTTGATAAAATTCATATTTTGTTTGTATAATTTTAAACTTTTAATTATTTTACATACCACCCACAGTTTCCCTTCCTCTCGTCCCTGTGCCTACCCCACCCACTTCTCAGAAAGGGTAAAGCTTCCTATGGGGGAATCAACAAGGCCTGCCATATTGGGTGAAGGCAGGACCAAGCTCTTCCCCACTGCTTCAAGGCTGAGTAAGGCACCCACCATAGGGAATGGGTTCTCAAAAGTCAGTTCATGCATCAGGAACAGATCCTGGGTCAACTACTACTGACCCCACAAACAGACCAATCTATACATTGTAAACCACATGCAGAGAACCTAGGTGAGTCCCGTTCAGGCACCCTAGTTGTCATTCTAGAGACCATGAGCTCCCAAAGGCTTGGATCATCTGTCTCTGTGGGTTTGCCCATCGTGATCTTGACTCTGCTTGCCTATATCATCATCCTCTTCTTTCTGTTCGGCCCAAACTGTGCTGTAGATCTTTGCATCTGCTTCCATCGGTTACTGGATGAAAGCTCTATGATGGCAATTAGGGTAGTCACCAATCTGATTACAGAAGAAGGCCAGTTCAGGCACCATCTCCACTTTTGCTAGGAGTATTAACTGAAGTCATCTTTGTGGGTTCCTGGAGGTTTTTGTGACACAGGTTTCTCCCTCACCCCATAATGGAACCTTCTACCAGGATATGTTTTCATTGCTCTCCCTCTCTGTCATTCCCATAAGCGGACCATCCCCATCCCAATCTTTGCATCCTCAATTACCTCCCGTTTACGCCCTTCCCTCTTTACCCAGGAGACCTCTTACATACATCAAAGAACAGCAGGAAAGAACAGTATCTTGAAGGAATGAGAGAAAATAGATGTGATTTTAGAATCCCAAACTCAGCGAAAATAGCACAAGTTAGTAGGTGTCAATGAAACATTTCCAGACATAAGCTAACTAAGACTTACCACATAGGCCATGGAAGAAAGAATTCCTGAGGCTGTTCTGTAGGCTGCTCAGAGGTGCTGGCTCACGCCAATCATCTTAGCCCTTGTGAAGCTGCAGCAGAAGAATTTCAAGTCTGAGGCAAGCCTGGGCTACACAAGGAAACCCTAGGTATATAAAACTGAACAGGGGCTGGAGAGATGGCTCAGTGGTTAAGAGCACTGGCTCCTCTTTCAGAGGATCCGGGTTTAATTCCCAGCACCTACATGACAGCTCACAAGTGTCTGTAACTCCAGTCCCAGGGAATCTGACACCTATACACCAACTCACATGAAATGAAGTTAAATAAAATTATTTAAAAAAAAACTGAACATTGCAGCCTAGAAAGAAGACAAACGAGGGGCCAGAGGGATGGATCAATGGGTAAAGGTGATCGTGGCCAGACCTGACATCCTGAGTTCAAGTGTTGGAACCCACAGGATAGATGAAGAGTGATGGAGGAAGGTCATTGGCTAATAAAGAAACTGCCTAGGCCCATTTGATAGGCCAACCCTTAGGTGGGTGGAGTAAGCAGAACAAAATGATGGGAGAAAGAAGCTGAGTGAGGAGTCGCCATGATTCTCCCACTCCAGACAGACACAGGTTAAGATCTTGCCTGGTAAGCTACCTCGTGGGCTACACAGATTATTAAAAATGGTTTAGATCAAAAGGTAAGAGCTAGCCAATAAGAGGCTAAAACTAATGGGCAGGCAGTGTTTAAAAGAATACAGTTTCCGTGTAATTATTTCAGGTATAAAGCTAGCCGTGCGGGCGGCTGGGTGGCGGGACACAGCCCGCCACTCCTACTACAACAAAAGAGAACAGAGTCCTGTTAGCCTCTGATGTCCACATGGTGCCAGGGCTCTAGCGTAGACACACAGGCAAAGCAAATACATGAATGTGTGTTTTTTAAAATTAAAATTAACTAAGGAAGATAGAAAAAAGGAGTGAGGGGCAAGAATAGAAAAATGAGTAAAAAACTGGCAATGAGCTTGGAATATTTAAAATATAATTGTTGATGTTCCCAAAGTAACTTTATGTATATATGTTACCATTAGCTTTATGTTGATATCTACTTTATGAGTATTGACTTATTTCATAATAAAATATGGATCAGTTTTGGAATGGGCCAGTGGTTAGGACACTGGTTGCTATTATAGAGGATGGTCATTTTATTCCCCGCACCCAGATAGCAGCTCAAACGGTTTTTAACTCTGATTGCAGGAAATCCAATGCCCTCATCTGACAAAAGAGGCATTCAGGCTTTCATGTGATATGTGTGCGTTTATGTACACATATTTAATATATTTCTTTGTATATACATGGATACAAAATACATATATGTGTACATGTATATGTATGTCATTTTCTTATGTACATTTTAATATTAGTTAAGAGTGGTTTGAATAATAAGCAAACAGCAAGCTAGGTAGTGGTAAAGGCACACACATTTAATCCCAGTACTCCGGAGGAAGAGGTGGGCCAGGCTATTTTACAAAACGAGTTCCAAGGATAGCTAGAGTTAATCAATAAACCCTGTCTCAAAAATAAAAAAAAATTAAATTAGGGCATTGGTGGCTCAACCTTTAATTCCAGCAATCAGGAGGCAGGAAGATCTCTGTGAGCTTGAGGTCAGCCTAGTCTTCAGAGTGACTTCCAGGACAGCCAGAGATACACAGAGAAACCCCTTCTCGAAAAAAGATTACACTAAATACATTCACAAAAGTATACAATGAGGCCAGACTTGGTGGCATATAGGTATAATCCCATACATACAGGTGTAATCCCATCACTTGGGAAGCAGAGGCGGGTAGATTCCTGTTGGTTCCAGCCTGGGCTGATCTCCTACATGGTGAGTTTAAAGACACTCTGGAATATATAGGGAGATCCTTTCCCAAAACCCCAACCCTACCAATCAGCCATTCAAACACTCTCTAATCTCCCAAAGAAAAACTTCCCAGAGTATAGTGAGAGTCAGAGAAAATCCTATGGACTAGCAGGGGTGCAGAGGGCCTTCCTTAGTCGTAGTGGAAAAGACACCTTGGAACACCATGCTCAAAACAAAAACTTCTTAAAATGTTACCATGTGACACCTTAAGGCAACTCGTCAATCATTTCTGCTTCTAACCATCTCTGCTCAAGTATCACAAAGAGGACCTATGTTTTACAATATCCTTAGCCCCAATCCTGGTCTCATATGTTCTCTTACGGTGTTGCTGAGTGTTTGAAAAAGACTCAAGGCTCAACATAGCTCATACTAGAAGACACTCTAATACTCATGTTTTTAAAATACAATTTTATTAAATTATTAAATCCAACATTTTGACAAAGTCTAAGTACTTAACCAAAACAAAAACAAAAGAATCTAAATTTTTTATGATCAGAAACATCATAAAGTAACATCTTCAGCAGGACAAAGACTATCTAACAACTATTTACAGAAAAGCTAATATTCTATCATAAAATTTAAGTAATTGCATTTTGTATGAAAGGAAAGTCCTTTAAAAATACACTTCAATTGAACTTAACTGTTTCATAGTAAATGTTAAGGAAAAATAAATGTTTTAGATATATCAAAGGCCGCCAATTTCTCAGAAGAGATATTGTTTTTATCAAACCCCAAAATGTAGATACATAAGATTACTAAAGAAATTAATAAATTTTGTTGGATATCAAATAAACAGAAGACATATCTATACTCAAGTTACAATGAAAAACATAAATTTGAGATCTTCTAATTATTGTAACAATATAGTCTTATAACAAATTATTGTAACATTAGAATTATGACCCCCAGAACTGGAGAACTATATTAAAAATACACATGATGAGATCCAAAGACTTATTTCTTGTTGAAGGGAAAGGTAAAAAAAATTCCTCCTAAAACAAAATCAAAATAAACTCCCAAACAACCCCCCAAAACAAACAAAAGCCCCATTTGTTTAAAAAAAATAACATGAGCTGGGTAGGGGTGGCACACATGCCTTTAATCTCAGCACAAACGGCAGAGGCAGGCAGACGATGTCTGCACTGCTGGAGCTGCCCGAGGCTGACTTCTGTATAGAAAAAGTCGATGTAAGCAGTCAAGTCAAAGAGCAAATGCAGGGGCCAACCAGCACGTGATGTGGTGGCGATGATCTTCCTTCCAGACATTCTAGCCAACCAACAATGCAATATTCTGCATTCTGCCCAATTCAGAAACAAGAGTGCCCTTCTAAGCTTGTAGGCTGTGCTCTCACGATGCTGTTGGGAAGCCAGTCTCTCATTTGAGGGGCATCGGGATTTATGCAGGACAGTTCATTCACAGAACAGTCTCTTCCTGGCCTTGCATGGGGACCTCGGAGAGGATGGAGGGCTCTGCTCTTTGGGACTTCCAGGAGAAGATGGAGGCAGAGGCTGCAGGGGTGAGCTGGGAAAGGGACCCAGCAGGTAACTGTCCTGGTCCCAGACAGACCTTGGAGAATATGGCTCTGCACTAGGGGAATGCCCTGAAGGATATGGTTCTGGGATGTGGCCCTGAGACCAAGGACTGGGCATCCTGTTGGTGGAGGAAAAGTGCTCACTTGCCTGACCAGCTGGAGGATCCATCCAGGGTGACAGGGAGCCAGAGTCCTCATTCTCATAATAGGATTCCTCTTGGTAGGAACTTTCTAGAAATGACTGACAAGAGGATCCCGGCTGGAGGACTAGCAGGTAGTCCACTGGCATTTCCTGGACAGCGCCCCCCTGCGGGCTGGCGGGGAAGAACCCAGGCTGTCCAAGATGGTGAGAAGCCTGGAGGCCCTCGGGCACCAGGATAATGGTGTTTTCAGGGAGCTCCACTTCCAGGACCTAGGTGGCATCCGGCTCCAGCAGCAGTTCGACGAAATCCAGCTGTAGCTGCACGGCACAGTCAGCGACCAGGATCACCGTAGAGGTCGATACATAGCTGGTGGGCGTGGCGGGCTCTTCAAGGCCAAGTGGACCCTGGGGCTCGTGGAGGCGGCAGCGCTTGGCAGGGCTGGGTCCTTGTGGCTGTGGTGTCCAGTAGGGCGCGGGGTCGGTGTCAGAGCTGCTAGGCTGCATGTTCAGCATGTGGACGGCTCTGTTGGGCTGTGGAGACACGGGGTGCAGCGAGGGCAGTGTCGCTGGTGCTAGCGAAGCAACTGCAGTCACTGGCCCTGGAGTCCTGAGCTTTATTCACGTCACACCGGATACACCAGGACGTCAATTAAATCCCCAGTGTTGGACCGGAAAGTCAAGTCGTGAAAAGTCACGCTAGGCTCCGCCCCTCGAGCCTCCAATTCAGAGGCTCCGCCCAGGAGTGTGGGCTGGGCTTTCCAGTAGCCTAGGCTGTACTCTAGAAATGCATTTGGAATTGAGCAACCAGAATATCTTTCGTGTCTTTTATTTATTATTTTTTTGTTTTCGAGACAGGTTTTCTCTATGTTACAGTCGTAGCGAAGCTGAAACTCTGTCAGTAGATCAGGCTGGCCTAAGACTGCCTTCCTCTACCTCCCGAGTGCTGAGAATAAAGGCATGTACCAACACTGCTTGGTTTTTATTTTTAATGTTTTTGGTTTTTCGAGGTTGGTTTTGTCTGTAGCTTTGGAGCCCATCCTGGAGCTAGCTGTTGTAGATCAGGCTGGCCTCGAACTCACAGAGAACAGCCTACCTCTGCTTCTGGAGTGCTGGGATTAAAAAGGTGTGCCACCAGGACCTGCTGGCCAGCTTTTTTTTTTTTGACACATTCGGAATAGGACTTTAATATGGGTTATCTTTAGAATTCTGTTTTCGAGTGGTTCTGAAATTTAAAAGACCACCTAGAATATACCAGGGTGTTCTACAAAGCTCTAGGACATCTGAGACTCTAAAGAGTGGTCTTGTCTCTTCCCCTTAAAAAAATAATCACTGAAAAGCATGCTTCCTCCACTTCCCCAATATTCAGTTTTCTTAACTTCAGTGCTTATCATATATTTATTTTGTTTTCATTTTTCAAAGATGATGTCACTGTGTACGTGAGTCCTGGGGTTGATAGAATGTGATTTCAGCATCATGGGAGGAAGAATCTCAATTTGAGTCCAGCCTGAGGCACATATTGGACACCATTTTCAAAACTAAACAAGCAGCCGGCTGGTGGTGGCACAGCCTTTTAATCCCAGCACTTGGGAGGCAGAGACAGGTGGATCTCAGTGAGTTTGATGCCTGCCTGGTCTCAAAAGGGAATTCTAGGCCAACCAGTTCTGCTACACAGAGAAACTGTGTTTGGAGAAACCTGCCTCAAAATCAATCCAAGCCCAAAAGATAAATCAATAAAGCCAAAAAGCAAAATAACAAAAGAAAACAAGAACAAAACCCACCAAGCATGGGTTAGAATGCTGGCTCAGTGGCTAAGAGCATGTGCTATTCTTCCTGAAAATCCGGGTTCAGTTTCAAGCACCCAAATGGCCACTAACTGTCATGTTTAATTCCAGTTCCAGGGAATCTGAAACCTTGTCTGTCTTACAGTGGCAACATGCAAAAGATGGTGTACAGACAAACATGCAGGCAAAACATCCACACACAGTAAGATTAAAATAAACATATTCTTTTTTTAATAAAAAAAACCAGAATATATGACAGGGAAAAATTTACTGAATGCTTGATTTTCACGATGGTGCCACCACACTCGAGTTATAGCCTGATGTGGATCGAACCCGGGACTTTGTGCATGCATCCTAAGCATCTCTTGGAACACATGTCCCACCCTGTGGTTTGTGAACTGCACAGGTGTTTCTTCATCTCTGTGAAAAGGCTCTTTAAAATACTAACGTGAAACTTTCAGGTAAAGATCCTTAAGATTAAGGGCTGTCATAAAATTGTTAAAGATAGGCACAGTGTGTTGGATGGTCACCTAGAACCTGCCCCCAGGGAGGGAGAAGCAGCAATTCCAGCCAAGAGGTCAGTCTCAGTCGAATGAGCCCCTGTAAAAAGAAAAAAGGATCAGGGAAAGGAAAGGAAAGATAAAGAGAGTCGGAGAGATAAATAAATTTAACCCTCCTCCTCAAAAAAAAAGTCTGGAAGTTTGGCACCTAATGCTTTTAATCCCAGTTCTAAAGAGGCAGAGGCAGATCTCTGTGGTTTTGATGTTGGCCTTATACTACAGTTTCAGGACAGCCAGGGCTACACAGAGAAACATGTCTCAACTAATAAACAATAACAGCGAGAGAAAGAGGGAGAGAGAGGGGGCGGAGGCTAGCTGTAGTTGTACACCCATTAATTCTGTTAGAGACAAGAATATTTCTGCAGGTTTGAGATAGGCCTGGACTACATAGTGATTTCTAGGTCTCCATAGAAAGACCATTCTTAAAGCAACAATCGAAGAAAGAAAGCAGAAGGTATCATTGAGAGCTTAAATATTGAAACAATATTAAGCTGTCAATGATGGCACATGCCTTTAATCCTAGCACCCGAGAGACAGAGGCAGGTGGATCTCTGAGTTTCAGGTCAGCCTGGTCTACAATAGCTAGCTCTAGGTCAGGCTCCAAAACTTCAGAAAAAAATTCGAAGCACTAAAAATAAAAATATAGTATTCTAAGTATATGTTCTACATTCTATTATTAATTAATTATATTTTGAAACATAATATAACCGTGATCCAAAGTGGTGTGTGGAGGACGACCTTGAACTTCTGATCCACCAGTCTCTCACACCACACTGCCAGGAGCACAGGGATGCCCTGCCCTATTTGGTTTCCGCTGTGCTGGGTTTTAGACACAGTGTTTATTGCAGCTAATGTGAGTGTTCTACAGCCAAAGTGTATCTCCATATTCAACTGTAGCGGTGTTAAAAAAATACACCTTTCAACCCCCCAAACACCTAGCATTTAATTTCTAGTTTAGTTACTGTAGGAATATGATGCAGACCTGTATTTTAATTTAAACCAAAGACACATCATTTCTGTCTGATAATCTCCTGTGAGAAGCTCACTGGTACATTGCATGCCTTCTGAATTAACATGCAATGTCTCCCCCACCTTCTCCTTCCTTCTTTTTCCTCCCTCTCTTCTTCCTTTTCTTCTCCCTTTCCTTCTTTGAATGACTATTAGGGATTAAACTCCCAGTCTTTTGCATTCTAGGCACCTGGTTGAGCACCTAGCCCCAACGCCAAGCCCTTTGCCTCCACTTTTAATGTATTTTCCCAGTTTCCATCTTTGCCAGCTCTGTCTGTTCTCATTTCCCTGCTGTACCATCTCTCAGTTTTCCTTCAAAGTTGTTTTATTTTGAGACAAGGTCTTGGTAAATTACCAGACCCGACTTGAAATTGCTCTGTAGAACAGGTTGGCCTTGCACCTGTGATTCTTTGGCTTCAGCCTCCCTTGTAGCTGGTCAGAGGTGCTCACAGGACTCAGCCTAAGGCTTGGCTCCTCTCATCAATTCAGTGCTCCCTCCTACTTCATAGCTGTTGACTCTGTTATTGTCCCTACTTGGAATTCTTCCTTAATCACAATTTCAGACAGCTTATTCTCAGAGCACCCTCTTCCAAAAGCCCAAGTCAGTCTCTTAAATATAAAAGTTCTATCACAGCTGGGAGGTGGTGGCACCCACATTTAGTCCCACCACTCAGAAGACAGAGAGGCCAATCTCTGAAAGTTTAAAGACAGCCTGTTCTATAGAGTGAGCTCCAGGCAGGCTCCAAAACTACAGAGAAACCCTGTCATGAAAAAGAAAAGCAAACAATCAATAACAGGCTTTATGAAGCCTGTGTTTCTGGAATATATTTCACTAACAATATCATTGGGCCCTCTCCCCTCTTCCTTGAGGGTGAGTAGTCATTGCAATCACATGCATCCACGTGGCCACTTGGATTTTTGTAGAAAGAATCTCAGTTAATTTGAGTGAAGACCTCATTCAGAAAAAGGCATTTGGACTGCAGAAAATGATTTGCACTCGTTGTCTACACTATCCAGCTACTTTCTATTATCTTTAGAAGGAGTCTTGACTATTTAAGAGTGGCTCTCGTGTTAGAGAGCAGAAAGTATTTTCTGTGGCAATGTAGGCCATACTCAAAAAACCCAAAATATAAACAAAAGAAAGATACAGCAAATACCAGCACAAAAATATACCAACAAGTCAGACTTGTGGGTATATGCCTCTTATCTCAACACTAGAGAGGCAGAGGCAGATGATCTCTGTGGGTTTAGGCTAGGCTGTTCTCCCTACATTTTCAGGACAGTTACGACTATATAGGGAGACCCTGTCTCAAAAAACCCAACCCTACCAATCAGCGAATCAAACACTCTCTAACCTCCCAAAGCAAAAAAAAAAAAAAAAAAAAAAAAATCCCAGAGTATTATGAAAATCAGAAGGAAATCCTATGGACTAGCAGGGGTGCAGAGGGCCTTCCTTAGTTGTCGTGTGTTCTGTCAACATGGACTGATGGCAAAGACACCATGGAACACCATGCTCAAAGCAAAAACTTCTTAAATGTTACCATGTGACACCATAATGCAATTGTTCCATCATTTCTTCTTCAAACCATCTCTGTTCATGTATCTGAAAGAGGACCAAAGTTTTACAATCTCCTGAGCCCCAACCCCGGTCTCATGTGTTATCTAACTGTGTTTTTGTGTGTTTGCCAAAGACTCAGGGCTTAACATAGCTCATACGTGAAGCTACTCTAATACTCAAGATTTTAAAATACAATTTTATTAAATTATTAAATCCAACATTTTGACAAAGTCTTAGTACTTAAACAGAACCAGAACAAAAGAATCTCACTTTTTTATGCTCAGAAACATTATAAAGTAACATCTTCAGCAGGACAAAGACTATCTAAAAACTATTTACAGAAAAGCTAATATTCTATTATAAAATTGAAGTAATTGCATTCTATATAATAGGAAAGTCCCAAGCAAATACACTTCAATTGAAATTAACTATTTCATAGTAAGTGTTAAGGAAAAAAATGTTTTAGATATGTCAAGGTCACTAATTTCTCAGTAGAGATATTGTTTTTTATCAAACACCAATATTAGGTACATATGATTACAGGCGAGTGTCAACCAGCATGTGATATGGTGGCGAAGATCTTCCTTCCAGACATTCTAGCCAACCAACAATTCAATATTCTGCCCAATTCAGAAACAAGAGTGTCCTTCTAACCTTGCAGGCTGTGCAAAGGCAGTCCTGTTGGCATTGGGAAGCCAGTCTCTCATTTAAGGGGCATCAGGATTGGTGCAGGGCAGTTCATTCACAGAACAGTCTCTTCCTGGCCTTGCATGGAGACCTCGGAGAGCATGGAGGGCTCTGCTCTTTGGGACTTCCAGGAGGAGATGGAGGCAGAGGCTGCAGGGGTGAGCTGGGAAAGGGACCCAGCAGGTAACTGTCCTGGTCCCAGACAGACCTTGGAGAATATGGCTCTGCACTAGGGGAATGCCCTGAAGGATATGATTCTGGGATGTGGCCCTGAGGCCAAGGACTGGGCATCCTGTTGGTGGAGGAAAAGTGCTCACTTGCCTGACCGGCTGGAGGATCCATCCAGCGTGACAGGGAGCCAGAGTCCTCATCCTCATCGTAGGATTCCTCTTGGTAGGAACTTTCTAGAATGAACTGACAGGAGGATCCCGGCTGGAGGACTAGCAGGTGGTCCACTGGCATTTCCAGGACAGCGTCCCCCTGCGGGTTGGCGGAGAAGAACCCAGGCTGTCCAAGATGGTGAGAAGCCTGGAGGCCCTCGGGCACCAGGATGATTGTGTTTTCAGGGAGCTCCACTTCCAGGACCGAGGTGGCATCCGGCTCCAGTAGAAGTTCGATGCCATCCAGCTGCAGCTGCAGGGCACAGTCAGCGACCAGGATCACCATAGAGTTCGATACATTGCTCGTTGACGCGGCGGGCTCTTCCAGGCCGAGTGGCCCCTGGGGCTCGTGGAGGCGGCGGCGCCTGGCAGGGCTGGGTCCTTGTGGCTGTGGTGTCCAGTAGGGCGCGGGGTCGGTGTCAGAGCTGCTAGGCTGCATGTTCAGCATGTGGACGGCTCTGTCGGGCTGTGGAGACACGGGGTGTAGCGAGGGCAGTGGCGCTGGTGCTGGCGGAGCAACTGCAGTCACTGGCCCTGGAGTCCTGAGCTTTATTCACGTCACACCGGATACACCCAGGACGTCAATTAAATCCCCAGTGTTGGACCGGAAAGTCAAGTCGTGAAAAGTCACGCTAGGCTCCGCCCCTCGAGCCTCCAATTCAGAGGCTCCGCCCAGGAGTATGGGAATGACTTTCCAGTAGCCTAGGCTGTACTGAGAAATGCTTTTGGAATAGCGCAACTATAATATCTTTCGTGTCTTTTATTTTTTGGTTTTTCGAGACAGGTTTTCTCTATGTTACAGCTTAAACTATCTCAGTAGACCAGACTGGCCTAAGACTGCCTGCCTCTACCTCCCGAGTGCTGAGATTAAAGGCATGTACCAATACCGCTTGGTTTTTATTTTTAATTGTTTTTGGTTTTTCGAGACTGGTTTTGTCTGTAGTTTTGGAGCCCATCCTGGAGCTAGCTGTTGTAGATCAGGCTGGCCTCGAACTCACAGAGAACAGCCTACCTCTGCTTCTGGAGTGCTAGGATTAAAGAGATCTGCCATCAGCGCTTGGCCAGCTTTTTTTTTTTTTTTTTTTTTTTTTTTTTTTTTTTCCGATTCGTTATAGGCCTTTAATATGGCTGATCTTTAGAATTCTGTTTTCGCCGAAATTTAAAAGACCACCTAGAATTTACCAGGCTGGTCTACAAAGCTCTAGGACATTGAGAATCTAAAGAGTGGTCTTGTCTCTTCCCTGTTAAAAAAATAATCACTGAAAAGAATGCTTCCTTCACTTCCCCAATATTCAGTTTTCTTGACTTCAGTGCTTATCATATATTTATTTTGTTTTCATTTTTTGGAGAAAATGTCACTGTGTCCGTGAGTCCTGGGTTTGATAGAATGTGATTTCAGCATCATGAGACGGAGAATCTCAAGTTTGAGTCCAGCCTGGGTCACATATTGGGACACCATTTTCAAAACCAAACAAGCAGCCGGCTGGTGCTGGCACACACCTTTAATCCCAGCACTTGGGAGGCAGAGACAGGTGGATCTCAGTGAGTTTGATGCCTGCCTGGTCTCAAAAGGGAATTCTAGGCCAACCAGTTCTGCTACACAGGGAAACCCTGTTTGGAGAAACCTGCCTCAAAATTAATCCAAGCCAAATAAATAAATCAATAGAGCTAAAAAGCAAAATAACAAAAGAAAACAAGTACAAAACTCAACAAACATGGGTTAGAATGCTGGATCATTGGTTAAGAGCATTTGCTATTCTTCCTGAAAATCTGGGTTCAGTTCCAAGCACCCAAATGGCCGCTAACTGTCATGTTTAATTCCAGTTCCAGGGAATCTGAAACCTTCTTCTGTCTTACAGTGGCAACATGCAAGTAGATGGTGTACAGACAAACATGCAGGCAAAACATCCACACACAGTAAGATAAAAATGACATATTCTTTTTTTTAAAAAAAAAACAGAATATATGACGGAGAAAAATTTACTGAATACTTGAGTTTCACGATGGTACCACTACACTCGAGTTATAGCCTGATGTGGATGGAACAGGGGACTTTGTGCATGCATCCTAAGCATCTCTTGGAACACATGTCCAGCCCCGTGGTTTGTGAACTGCACAGGTGTTTCTTCATCTCTGTGAAAAGGCTCTTTAAAATACTAACGTGAAACTTTCAGGTAAAGATCCTTAATATTAAGGGCTGTCATAAAATTGTTAAAGATAGGCACAGTATGTTGGATGGTCACCTAGAACATGCCCCCAGGGAGGGAGAAGCAACAATTCCAGCCTAGAGGTCAGTCTCAGTCGAATGAGCCCCTGTAAAAAGGAAAAAGGATCAGGGAAAGAAAAGGAAAGATAAAGAGAGCCGGAGAGATAAATAAATTTAACCCTCCTCCTCAAAAAAAAGTCTGGAAGTTTGGCACCTAATGCTTTTAATCCCAGTTCTAAAGAGGCAGAGGCAGGCGGATCTCTGTGAGTTTGATGTTGGCCTTATACTATAGTTTCAGGACAGCCAGGGCTACACAGAGACACATGTCTCAACAAATAAACAATAACAGAGAGAGAAAGAGGGAGAGAGAGGGGGAGGAGGCTGGCTGTAGTTGTACACCCCATTAATTCTTTTAGAGACAAGAATATTTTTGCAGGTTTGAGATAGGCCTGGACTACATAGTGATTTCCAGGACTCCATAGAAAGACCGTTCTTAAAACAACAATCAGAAGAAAGAAAGCAGAAGGTATCATTGAGAGCTTAAATATTGAAACAATATTAAGCTGTCAATGATGGCACATGCCTTTAATCCTAGCACCCGAGAGACAGAGGCAGGTGGATCTCTGTGAGTTTGAGGTCAGCCTGGTCTACAATAGCTAGCTCTAGGTCAGCCTCAAAATTTCAAAAAAAAATTCAAAGTACTAAAAATAAAAATTTAGTATTCTAAGTATATGTTCTACATTCTATTATTAATTAATTATATTTTGAAACATAATATAACCGTGATCCAAAGTGGTGTGTGGAGGACGACCTTGAACTTCTGATCCACCAGTCTCTCACACCACACTGACAGGAGCACAGGGATGCCCTGTCCTATCTGGTTTCTGTTTGCTGGGTTTTAGACACAGTGTTTATTGCAGCTTATGTAAGTGTTCTACAGCCAAAGTGTATCTCCATCTCCAACTGTAGCGGTGTTAAAAAATACACATTTCAACCCCCAAACACCTAGCATTTAATTTCTAGTTTAGTTACTGTAGGAATATGATGCAGACCTGTATTTTAATTTAAACCAAAGACACATCATTTCTGTCTGATAACCTCCTGTGAGAAGCTCACTGGTACTTGCGTGCCTTCTGAATCAACATGCAATGTCTCCCCCCACCATCTCCTTCCTTCTTTCTCCTCCTTCTCTTCTTCCTTTTCTTCCCTTTCCTTCTTCACTTCAGTATTAGGATCAAACCCTGAGCCTTTTACCTTCTAGGCAGCTGGTTGACCACCAAGCCCCACCTCCAAGCCCTTTGCCCTCATTTTTAATGTATTTTCCCAGTTTTCATCTTTGCCAGCTCTGCTTGTTTTCATTTCCTGGCTGTATCACTTTCTTAGTTCTTCTTTCAAAGTTTTTTTATTTTTTCTTTTGAGACAAGGTCTAGGTAAATTACCAGACCCGACTTGAAATTGCTCTGTAGAACAGGTTGGCCTTGCACCTGTGATTCTTTGGCCTCAGCCTTCCTCGTAGCTGGTCAGAGGTGCTCACAAGACTCAGCCTAAGGCTTGGCTCCTCTCATCAATTCAGTGCTCCCTCCTACTTCATAGCTGTTGACTCTGTTATTGTCCCTACTTGGAATTCTTCCTTAATCACAATTTCAGACAGCTTATTCTCAGAGCACCCTCTTCTAAATCCCCAAGTCAGTCTCTTAAATATAAAAGTTCTATCACAGCTGGGAGGTGGTGGCACCCACATTTAGTCCCACCACTCAGAAGACAGAGAGGCCAATCTCTGAAAGTTTAAAGACAGCCTGTTCTATAGAGTGAGCTCCAGGCAGGCTCCAAAACTACAGAGAAACCCTGTCATGAAAAAGAAAAGCAAACAATCAATAACAGGCTTTACGAAGCCTGTGTTTTGGGATATATTTCATTAACAATATCATTGGTCCCTCTCCCCTCTTCCTTGAGGGTGAGTAGTCATTGCAATCACATGCATCCACGTGGCCACTTGGTGTTTTGTCGAAAGAATCTCAGTTAATTTGAGTGAAGACCTCATTCAGAAAAAGGCATTTGGACTGCAGAAAATGATTTGCACTCGTTGTCTACACTATCCAGCTACTTTCTATTATCTTTAGAAGGAGTCTTGACTATTTAAGAGTGGCTCTCGTGTTAGAGAGCTGAAAGTATTTTCTGTGGCAATGTAGGCCATACTCAAAATACCCAAAATATAAACAAAAGAAAGATATAGCAAATACCAGCACAAAAATATACAAACAAGTCAGACTTGTGGGTATATGCCTCTTATCTCAACACTAGAGAGGCAGAGACAGATGATCTCTGTGGGTTTAGGCTAGGCTGTTCTCCCTACAGTTTCAGGACAGTTACGACTATATAGGGACACCCTGTCTCAAAAAACCCAATCCTACCAATCAGCGAATCAAACACTCTCTAACCTCCCAAAGCAAAAAAAATCCCAGAGTATAATGACAATCAGAAGGAAATCCTATGGACTAGCAGGGGTGCAGAGGGCCTTCCTTAGTTTTCGTGTGTTCTGTCAACATGGACTGATGGCAAAGACACCATGGAACACCATGCTCAAAGCAAAAACTTCTTAAATGTTACCATGTGACACCATAAGGCAACTGTTTCATCATTTCTCCTTCTAACCATCTCTGTTCAAGTATCTGAAAGAGGACCTAAGTTTTACAATCTCCTGAGCCCCAACCCCGGTCTCATGTGTTCTCTAACTGTGTTTTTGTGTGTTTGCCAAAGACTCAGGGCTTAATATAGCTCATACATGAAGCTACTCTAATACTCAAGATTTTAAAATACAATTTTATTAAATTATTAAATCCAACATTTTGACAAAGTCTTAGTACTTAAACAAAACTAAAACAAAAGAATCTCACTTTTTTATGATCAGAAACATTATAACGTAACATCTTCAGCAGGACAAAGAATATCTAAGAACTATTTACAGAAAAGCTAATATTCTATTATAAAATTGAAGTAATTGCATTCTATATAATAGGAAAGTCCCTAGCAAATACACTTCAATTGAAATTAACTATTTCATAGTAAGTGTTAAGGAAAAAAATGTTTTAGATATGTCAAAGGTCACTAATTTCTCAGGAGAGATATTGTTATTATCAAACACCAAAATTAGGTACATATGATTACTAAAGAAATTACTATTTTTTGTTGGATATCTAATAAACATAGAACAGATCTATACTCAAGTTACAATGAAAAACATA